CAGGGTAACATTAATTCCAGCTAGTTGTTTTCTCAAATTAAACTTTTTTTGAATAATATTGTTTCCTGGAATAGAATCTTTTTTGATTTTAACTAAAATAGGTTTAGCCTTATTAAAAATTTCTGAATGATTATCACTAATTATGTCATTAGTATCACCATTTTTCTGATTATCCTTATTAAAAGATTGATCATCTGTTTGATTATCAATTTTTCCATTGTCGACGATCATTTCATCATTTTTTTCACCATCAATTGGTGCATCTAGATTTTCTGGTGTTACTTGATTATCTGTATTGGATTTTGCTGCGCCACCGCTTTCAGATGAAGAAGCAAAAGTATCTTGATTAATATCCATATCATCAGTAGTTTTTTCAGTAGATTTATGTTGCCTAAAAGACAAACGAAGTTGTTTTTTCTGTTGTTTTTGTTCAACTTGTTTTTCTTTATCTTTTCTTTTAGTTTTACGAGAACTTGCAGGTTGCCAATCCTGAATAATAGGATTGATATTGAAGACTGGTTTATGTATCTAGTCTTGAAGAGTTTGCTGTTGTCCTGGTTTGTTAACTTCTTTATCTTGTTGCTGTCTTGTACTTGACTGAGTGGCGTGGACCCTAGGTTGCGACCCTGACATCTCGAACAAGTTAAAACTTAATAAACTTACTCTTAAAATTGAACTTTTTCCTTTAAAAATTCCGCAGTAAAAATGGTCTTGAATACAAAGAAGAAGAAGTCTCATTAAGAAAAGATTTATTCGCGATAGTATACTTTTAATGTGATAGTTATTGATGATCACTTTCCAAATAAATGTACTTTTTCGCTTAATTTGGTATTTGTTGTGTGATCTTCAAGTATTTTTTCAGAAATTTGGAAGTGTGCAACGCGAACTTTAGAGTTCAAATTTATATATATATAAATATGCATATTGCATATTGCATATGCATATGCAATCGCAACAGCATATGCATATGCATATGCATATGCATATTCGCAATTTCAATAGTAATACATTATTTAATGCTAATATTTCAAAAAATATTGCTATATGCAAATATTGCTTCTTTTGACATCATTAGAATAAAATCATAAATTGGGCACTTCTGTGATACTCTTATTGCTTGTTAAGTTTAATTATCAAATAATAAACTTTTGTAAAAAAAAAATTTTGTTGATCATCTTTTTTCTTTGATCATCGTCAAAGAGATAAATAAAAAAAAAATTTAAAAAAAATTAAAAAATGAAAAAACAATTAAATTTAATTAACATTTAATTAAATAATGAAGTTTTTACTAAAATTTATTAAATAAAAATAATATATTGTATTGTTTTAATTATTTTATCCATTACAATATAATTTTTATATTAAAAATTAAACCAATAATACTAGTGCGTTGATCATTTCAATGATCAAAACATTGAATAATAAAAAAGCTCCGAACAGTTCCAATTTTCAATTCTTTTTTAATTGGTCAGAATCGTTTTCACGTAATAACTCACCATCCAGTGATCGTAGAAAGATGATTAAGAGCTCATTAGAATCCTCTTATTGAGAGCTTTCAAATGATGCCAAAATCATCATTTTAGCATCGATAGATGGCGAGTTATTTTGACACATTATCAAAAAAAATAAAAATT